AATTCTATTCAGTTGTGATCATAGAAACCTTATTTTCCACATAACCTTATATTTATACATAAGAGAACACCTTCTATTCATCAAAAGCTATTTGAAGTTCCTATCACATAAGTTAAAACAAATGAATAAATCCAGGTCCTACTTTACTAAACATATCTCTCAAAAGGTCATACCTGTTTTTCACATAACACTAACATGTCAAATACTGTAAATATAATTATAATCATAAATTGACACTGAAGCCTTCTAACTTAAACCTAAGCTAATTTCATCTTACCAAACTCAAGAGCACCACGCCTACACACCTGTACAATATTATAGACTCAGGGCTACACTTAACCTACCCCACCTATACCATATTATAGAGACTCAGGGCTAACCCTACACACCTGTACAATATCATAGGGTCTCAGGGCTGTTCCTAACCACATGTACAATATTACAGAGATTCAGGGCTGTTCCTAACCACATGTATAATACTACAGAGATTCAGGGCTGTTCCTAACCACATGTACAATATTACAGAGATTCAGGGCTGTTCCTAACCACATGTACAATATTACAGAGATTCAGGGCTGTTCCTAACCACATGTACAATATTACAGAGATTCAGGGCTGTTCCTAACCACATGTACAATATTACAGCAATTCAGGGCTGTTCCTAACCACATGTATAATACTACAGAGACTAAGGGCTGCACCTGAACAATATACTAGAGACTCAAGGTTGCACTTCATTAAGATGATGATGTCATTTAAAAGGAACAAACAGCAAATAACCCACAGTTATGGGTACTGCATCTATACACTCAAGACATATTTTAACAAGTTTTTAATAACAAGATTTGTTTAAAATTGCTAATGATACATCCTACAATGGAAAGAAATTGAGTAGTGGCTTCAAAATCCAACAGAAGGGGGCCAGGGGGAATACCATGAAGAGGCAAGAAATGAAATTTTTCCTTAATTACTAGTTTAAAGACCCTTTTACTAAATAACTTACTTTCAAGTATGAGTGTTCCAGCAAAGGATGATAATGACACAGCTTCCATAGCATTGTTAGTTGGGCATATGAATAAAACATAGAAGTACTACTGTAACTGTGAAATGAATGGAAAACACTGGACTAGTTTTGTGTGACAACTGGACACATCAGAGAGGGAGGAACCTCAGTTGCAGAAATGTCTCCATGATATCCAGTTCTAAGGCATTTTCTTAATTAGTGGAGAAGGGCCCAGCCCATTGTGAGTGGTGCCGTCCCTGGACTGATGGTCCTGGGTTCTATAAGAATGAAGGCTGAGCAAATCGTGCAAAACTAGTCAGTTAGCAACACTCTTCCATGGCCTCTGCATCAGCTCCTGCCTCCAGGTTCCTGCTCTGCTTGAGTTCCTGCCCTGACTTCCTCCAGTGATAGCAATAATGTGGAAGAGTATACAGAATCAACCATTTCTTCCCCAACTTGCTTTCTGGTCATGCTGTTTTTCATCACAGCAATAGAAAATCTAACTAAGACAAACGCATACACTAAATCTTGGAATAATTTTTATCTGTGTTTAGTGATTACTACAGATAAATTCTGCTGCATAAAATTAAAAATTATTTAACAAAGGTAATAGCTGACACTAGAACTTTTACAAAGCTATGAAAGAACACACTATGAAAACAACACTTGCCACTCCAGCCAGGGAAACTGATCAGTGCCTTCCTCAGCATCATCTGAGAAGCTTCCTCCTACAGCAGATTGGGAACAAACACGAAGACCCACAGCCAGACACAATGAAGACTGAGATATCTTGGAACACTCAGCCCTAAATAGAATGTCTCCACTAAATCTCTCCAGACAAGGCTCAGGGAACTCTGCACAAGAGGAAAGCGTGTAAGAGCCAAAGGGAGTGGAGGAGACCAAGGAACAAAGCCAAGTCAAGAGAATCGAAGCACATATAAACTCCGAGACTGAGGCAGAAGACCCAGGGCCTGCATGGCTCTTCACGAGACGAAGTCCTACAGTTGAAACAAGTGGACAAATGACCCCATCCCTAAGCCAGAAGCTGTCTCCAACTGATAACATTTGCAAATGTAAATTTAGTTTTCTCCAAGGGGAAACAAACCACTCTTAAGGGTAGACTGAGGCCCAGCAGTAGACAGCCAAGAGAGAAGAAAATCAATGGTATCTTCAGAAGGTCTTTGTCTCATAATGTCATGTCAGGACATGTCCTTCCTTTTTTAAAATTTTATCTTAGTTTTTATCATCTTAATTTTGTCTATATATATTTTTTTCTCTCTCTTTACCCTATAGGCCCTTTGTGTATATATTATGGCTTCCAGTCCTGAGTGGGTCTCTGAAGCTATGTCTTGTTCTCGTGCCTTTCCTTGGGCTCTTTTTATTCCCCCCCATTCCAATGTATTAGTTTTCTTTTTATCTTATCATTATCCATTAGAATCCTGTTTGTTTTTTAATGAGAGATTCGAGGATAGAGTGCAGATAGGATGGGTGGTGGTGAAGGACTGAGAAGAGTAGAGGGGAAATCTTACATATCAGGATACATGATATAAAGGAAAAAAATCTGTTTTCAACGAAAGGAAAAAAAACAACAGATAGTTATTTAGAAAAAGGAAAACATGATAAACAAAAACAAATTCATAATAATGTTTCCCAGGAAAATACGGCTTCCACTGAATAAATAAAAAGGCACAGTGTGAGAGCGAGCACACTAGCCATGTGGTCTGTAGGCCACCCTGGTCTCACAGCTGGGTTTTACTGAAGGAAATCGTATCATGTCATACAAAGAGGCAAATATATGAGAAAGAGTCTATGTACAGACCCAATCTGCTGTTAAGTCTGCACAGTGCATGAAATCATCTCCATCCCCTGACTTTTCTAAAACATCACTTATCCCTCTGTCTCTAGTCTCTTACCCTGCTGACATACAGCATTATCTGATATTACAAGGAGACAGAGATAGAGATAGTGTTCTTTGTTTTGTAGATAAAGTGATGGTGGAAGACTCCAAGGACAGGACTGATGCACAGATGAACACACAGAGACTGCGACAAGTCCTATGTATGTACAAACCAGACAAAAGTCCCAGACCTAAGTGGAGTGGACATAAACACTTCCCATGAATAACAATAGATTTTCAATTGATGCCTGCTGGGAAAAGAACAACCAGTTTCTACAAAGAAGAGCTGCTGGACATCAACCATACTCCAGATCAGACCCAGACCCCATACCCAGGAATAGCTAGTAAACACCAAACAGACGCCATGTTTATTTTACTTTTGTTTCATTTTAGTATTTTTTTCTTACTGGTTTTTTGCTTTTTGTTTTAATTTTCATTTTTTGAGAGGGAAAAATATAACCTTAAGTAGGGAAGTAAGTAGGGAAGTAAGTGGGAAGTTAAGTAGGGAAGTAAGTGGGAAGGACCTAGCAGAAGGGGAAAGAATACAATATGATCAAAAGTTAAAAGAAAAAGAGAATAAATGATAAATTAACAATTTAAACTCATTACACATATATACAATGAACTATTTTTAAATTTTTTAATGTTTTAAATTGAAATAGAACTACATCATTTTCCCTTTATTTCCTCCATCCAAATCTTCCCATTTACCCTCCCTCCCTCTCCTATCATGCTCCCCAATTCTCAAATTGATAACCCTTATTTCTTTGATTATTATCATCACATACATGTGTATGTATGTATATGTAACCTGAGTCTAAATAAATATCAAGCAGGTGATACACATAAGAATAAATTTTAAAATTTTTAAAGTAAAAAAACACTCAAATATTACTCATTGCCTAAAAGATTAACTTTTGATATAATATACTCTAGTAAAATAAATAGCATATTGCCAAGATGAGCCTAATCAATGTTTATATTTAAGCATCACACAAATGAAATGTTAAAACATTATTTGGAAAGATATTTCTCTGATCAGTAAAAATATAAACATTAGAGTAGTGGTTCTCAACCTTCCTGTGACCCTTTAATACAGTTCTTCATGTTGTGGTAATCCCCCCAACCATAAAATTATTTCCTTACAATTTTGCTACTGTTATGAATTGTAATATAAGTATCTGATATATGACCCCAAAGGGATCACAACTCACAGGCTGAGAGCCACTGCAGTAGAGCAAGACTTTGCAATTTAAATAACAAAACCAGAAAAACTCAGAAAGAACATGTCAAACACATTTTTCTCATGTTACTTTTGCATAATCATGCCATCAAGAGTAAGCAAACCTTTGATGTTTAAGACACACATAATCAAAGACCTGAATCTATAAAAGACTAAATATCACCAAATGCTTTCACTTCTTAAAAATTACTGGGTACCCAATGACAACAAGAAACCCACAAAGTCTCATCAGAATCCAGGTGTGGGCCTTTTCTATGTGTACTCATTAGTTATTCACACTTTCCCCTGAAAAATTATGAACTAGAAGCTTGTTAGCCAGCAAAACCATGAACTCTAAATGCTTGAATTTCAAGGACCTATTTTAAATATCCAAGGAACATCTAGACATCTAGACATCTCATCAACATGGGATTTATCACCTAATAAACAGCCTTTCTGCAGATAGTTCCTCCAAAGAAATCACAACAAAACCTATAGACAAGTGTTTACACCCACTCTATTCATAATCACCAAAAGCTAGAAAGAACCGAAATTCTCCTTCAACCAGTGACTCAAAAGACAATCCTCATGACAGCACAAAATGTATTCTAGTATACCCAACAATTTGAATACATCTCAAAGATATTAAAAGCTGGGGACAAGAAGCCAGCCTCAGAAGGATATTGACTTTATGACTTATGTGTCTTTATTAATAGACAAAACTATCATGACAGGAAAATTACAGTGGCAGCCAGGTTAGAGGGAGGGTGGTCCCTAAAAAAAATTTTTCTAAAAAAAATTTCAGTAGTACTTGTTGACAGTGATAACAAATGTGAGCAAATCAACTGCATTAAACTTTTAATCATGAAAGGACTTACCAAGTTCATTGAGACTCTGAGCAGCTTTTGTTATTTCTCTACTTCCTCCTTGCAGTTGTCCCTGGAGCCTCTTACTGAGATATAAGATGCGAATTATTCTCCGAAGCAAATCACAGGCAACCTATTCAAGTAACACAGTATTAAGAAAGTACAGTAGCTCTATGAAGTTTCATTGTGAAGCTTTCCATTCTTTCCAGATGTGAAAAGATTTGTTCAGCTTTTTTGTTTCCTACTAGATACCCCAAATAAGTACATATCTATTAAAAAGAACATCCACAATTCCATATTTAAGCTTTACAACAAAGCTCAACTTATCCCAAAGAGAGTAAATTTGAGATGGAGATACTATGAGGTCAAAGATTCTTTTAACCCTGTTCTGAACCAATGGCTTTGTTTGACTTCACTTTAATTCAAATGCCAAGGTTCAAAGAGTTCCAATGCTAAGACCATATTTCTATACACTTAGATGAAAATCTGTAGGGCAATGACAAGCATCCATTCTACCTGTCGACATCCCCAGACGATGACTTGGCTGTGCTTGGCTTCCTACTATGCCTCCGCTCTAGTTTCTCTTTCCTCAATGTCTAGGGGAATAGTCTTTAAAACTCTCAATTTCACTAATCCTTAAAGGATAAATTATGTTTATCGCTTGAATTTTTCTAATAGATCTTATCGATAAATTATTAACGAAAATTAGTTAAAATAAAAATCAAAAAACTATCACTAACTTTTATGTCACTTCCTAGTTTTTTTTCTTTCCCAAATATAACTGAAGTTTTATAAAAATAAATAAATAAATAAATAAATAAATAACAACTCAACTGTGTGTACATGCTCTGATGCAGAAACTTGTGCAGAGTCATTGCCTTGAGGAGAGTATGGTGAAAAACCAGACTGAAGTTGATTTCCAGCCTTCACAGTGATAACAAAACAGGGATGATCCATTGATCTATGCTGCTCCTCACCACCACCTTTGAATAGGCCCAAGGCTACATGAAAAGCAAGGACTTCTTACTAAGAAAAACTCTGAACATTTCATTGAGAAGTAAAAACTCCATGGGCTAGGGAAAAAAACAGTTAAATGCTTGGCGCACAACTTGAAGACCTGACTCTGGATCCCCCTATCACCATCAATTCATAAAAATCTGGGTACCAGCACTGTGGAAGTAAGTAGAGTCATAAGGATTCCTAGGGATTTCTGGTTCTTGCTAAAGGGTTCTCAATGCCCTCATTTTTTTCATAATAGTGTTAATCCTTGAAGACTTATACCTAATCAATTATGACAAGTAGATGTTACTCATTTCTGATTTTGAAAAATTAAAACATGTACATGTGACTTGACACCTATTCAGGCTTTCTAGTTGCAACTGCTTTAACAGGAGAAACAACTAAAAATATAATTAGTTATTGCCTACATTATCTTTCTATGCTTGGTGTTCCACATCAGATTAAGATAGATGGAACTGGCTATTGCAGTCAGACATTTGAGATGTTTTGTTGACAATTTAATACTACTCATATAACTGGGATTCTTTATAATCCTCAAGGACAAGGTATTATAATACAGATATCGTGGAACTTTAAAATAATCTTTAAAATATCTTCACAACTATCTGAGTGTGGGAGGAACAGCTACTGATGCTTCTGCCCTGGTTTTGCAAAGAACTCTAAAAACTTGGCTTTTAAAAACATAAGAGGAGGAGTTATACCCCCAGAAGGGTCCCCTAGAAATATCCCCCATCATGCCTTGTTGGTTCTCAATTTTCTAAATTTGGACACTCATGGCAAATCTGCTGCTGATCGTCTCTGGCACCCTGAGATCAATAAAAACTATGCCACAGTTATGTGGAAGGACCCTCTTACCTTTAAATGGAAAGGTCCAGACCCAGTTCTCATATGGGGCCAAGGATCAATATGTCTGTTTGATACCAAAGAAGGCACAGCTAGATGGTTGCCAGAAAGATTAGTGAAACAAACAGATACCTCCACAAAGCCAGAACCAATTGTAGATAAGATGAAAAAGAATTGAGATGCAGGGAAGAGAGATCTCACTGAGAATTCCCTTCTTTTTTCCTTTCTAGATAAAAATGAGCCACCATGGTGTTTGCTGTTGGAGGTTCTAATCCTGATGCCGGCCTCCGGAATTGCACTACTCAGACCCGGGACGGGCCATTGACAAGAACACTGAACAGCCAGAGATTGGTATCACTAATCTAGAAAAATCCCCTCGTTTCACTGTCTGAAGTGGTCCGCCAAAATCGCAGAGGGCTGGATCTGCTTTTCCTTCAACAAGCAGGCTCTGTACTGCCCTCAAGGAGGTATGCTGTTTTTATACTGACCACAACAGGGTAGTTGGAAATAGTATGACCAAGATCAGAGAGAGATTAGAATGGCGAAAGAAACAGGGAGTGCAAGAAGAGGGGTGGCTTAAAAACTGGTTCTCTGCCTCTCTTTGGCTTACCACCCTTCTCCCTTACATTCTTGGTCCTGTAGTTGGTCTCCTCCTTTTGGCTTTCAGCGCTTGGGCCTTTAATAGACTCAATGGCTTTATAAAACAACAAATTGACTCCTTAGCATCTAAACCTCTACAAACACATTATCATATGCTTGATGTGGCTGACAGAAGCTTGGCTGAGCCTTACAATGACATAGCTCCTTTAGGAGCTGTGGAGAACTCAGATCTGGGCACGTTGGTTCCGCATGGCACGAACACAGTGTGGATACCTAACGAGGGATGTAAGGCAAAGCACTGCAGGGGAGGACACAATTGTCTACTTATGAGCCCCCTCCCAAGAAGCAAACTTGATTTGCATAGGGGTTGGTGTTGGTCCTCAGACCACTCATTGTGGGGCTCTCCCCCCAAGTTAGGCTCTGCCCTTCCTCTCCAAAAGACACCAAGAGCCACCCAAGATGTGGGAAAAATAACCCTCTGCTCTCCACGAGAGGAATCAGGTCAATCCCTCCCCCTTCCTGTTAATGCCCACTCGTTCATGGACAAGAACCATAGGTGTCTGCCTTCTCGCCAGCCTAATGCAGATTAAATAAAAAGGTGGGAGCCAACCTTACTCCATTTTGAAGGAATAGTTTTAGGTTTTGTTTTTTCTCAGCTATCAACTCCTGAGAAAGCAGGTGGCCAATGGTCACTGCGCCCTAAGGAAAGTGGTTGCTGTGCCCTGAGCCAGACAAAAATATCAGGGCTGCAAGATATCGGCCATGGCGGAACACCCAGCTTCTGTGAAATTCTCCCAAACACATTATCTCCTTCCCTGCCTGTATAAATTGCCTGAGAAAATACAGCTCGATGGACCTTGATCAGAAAACTTGACTTGGTCTTGTTCTTTGTGTCTCCTGTCCCTTCCATTCTCTTCCCCTTTCTCTTAGGTCCTGTTGAGGATCCTGTTGTGGATAGCCCCAGCCTTGTATTTCAATACTAATTACCCTTTCCTGTGAAGGGCTGCAGAGGAAGTGTGAGTCATTACACAGGTGATTTCTAGTGAACCTTCTGCCCATCTTCATTTGTAAAATACAGGCTGGAATCAGTGATTGGGCAGAGAAAGGGGCGGAGTTGGTGGGAGAGAGCAGAGGAGGATGGCTGGAGAACAACTGGAGGAAGACGATGATGACTGGGGAGAAGAGAGGAGAGAGAAGACGATGGAGGAAGATGGAGGAGGAGGACTGGGAAGCAGGAGGTAGAAGGACAAATGTAGGGTCTGGAAAACCCTCAAGTTATAAGGGTCTCATAGCTGAGGAACAGAGTAGTGTAGGGGTATCTGCCCAATCTAGGCTTACAGAATATATTCATAATTACTGAGTTGTGTTTTCATTGACCGGTTCTATCCGGGTTGGAGATTCAAATATCTCCCACTACAGGACCATGCAGGCTAGGGCAGAGCCTGGCAGAACTGGCATGTTTTGATGAACAATGTGGAATCTAGAATCTTTCACAACCATTCTGAGATGCTAAATACTTCATAGGGAGAAATATCAAGCATTACTCTAAGTCACCTAAAACTATCCACTGAAAATTACTCAGTCTTGCCCTATAAAGGGAATACTTTCAAACATTAAGTTTCAAATTCCATTCGAATGCTTTATTCTTAATAATCTTATTCACTGCCTACTACATAACAAGCTCCATCCCTGCAAGGATTGCCTCAAGACAACTCTTATCCGAACAAATTTGCACAATGATCTCTCAATGAAATCTACTTCAGATATTTATCTTCTTAAAAATACTTTTCAATACTTATCCCTTTTTAAAACAAAGGTGCCTGACCACTTACAGACTAGTTAAATTTTCCAATAGCATTAATAAAAATCCTCATTCAACAAGTCCTAGCTAACCTAAAAGCCATTAATTCCCACCATTTCCCAACTCACATCCCTCCCTAAAATCAATTTCCTATCCTTGTATTTTAGACTTTCACTAATAATAAACCATTATGAGCCACACTCACAGACTTATAGCTAAATGCACTTAGAATCAGCACACAGAAAAAACAGAACAGCAGCCATCACACACTCTGCCGCATAACTATTCATCGCTATGCTCCACCAGAGAGAAACTACTAGTCTCTTTTATGGCCATAATCTCTGCAGTGATAGGTATGGTAAAGCCCTTGTGTATGGCTTTGAGTGCTATGTTTGGGTCAATCAGTAGAGGCTGGGAAATTGCTATGAGACTATTTGACCCTTGAAGGTCTCTCTCTGAAAGGTCTGCACTTGGTATTACATTAGAGCTTGCAGCTGCATTAATCTTGGTCCTAAGACACTCCAGGCAAACTTGGAGTTCTTACTTTTGGTTATGGCTAGCTGTGGTCAAAGTAACTGAGATTTGTGTGGCTTGTCTGCTCTCATGAGCAGCAAAGAGCAAGATAACTTTGGTAGCTGGAATCTTTCCCAGCCCAATTAACCTATATGGTGTTTAAATAAAGTAACTGGAGTGAGCTAGCTGGGTTTCAGTCTTCCCTGAGAGGCTGTATCCATCTGCTCCTTCAGAAAATTGAAGGCTTAGCATCTTGGTGAGTTTCTCTTTGTACTGTGGCACCTACAACCAACATAAATTAATAAACTTTGTTATCTTTATCCATGGAAACTGTTACAGAAATAAATCAATCTCTC